TATTGGCCCAGGCCCAGCTCACACCTGTAGTAGAGGGAGATCAGCAAGTGTATGTGTGTGAGAGGTAGATAACCATCTGACCAGCTGCCACACAAGCACACCAATGTGGCAAGGTCCAAGTAAGAAGGATGGGCCTGGTGCAAGCGATCCCTGCCTCTGCTTCCATGCTGGAGGTCCTTAGGTAGGCACCAAACTTCAACCCTGGCACCCAAGATGGCCGTGCCTGTGGCTTGGGTGCTCCACTTACCCATGTGGTGGCCTAGTCCACAGCATGAATGGGTAGTGGGCAAGAAGAGGTGTGGGAGCGAGAAAGGACAGCAGGTGGAAGCCTTCTATTGGCTCAGGGAGAGCATGGGGCCCTGCTAGCCTCATCTGTCACAGTGGCCCTGTGGAGACCAGCACACTAGGGCTCTCTAAACCACCTCCTTTGAATTGTAGTTCACCTGAATTGTATGGTATTTAATCTCACCTAAGGAAGTAACTCCCTCAAATGCAACATTGTGTGGGCCAAGAAAGCTATCTCCAGAAATGCAAATAAGTCCCTTTTTTTGTTTGTTTGTTTTGGGTTTTTTTTTTATTTTATTTTATTTTTTTTATTTTTTGGTCTTTTTGAGACAGGGTCTCCCTGTAGCCCCAACTGTCCTGGAACTCACTATGTAGACCAGGCTGGCTTTGAACTCACAAGAGATCCTCCTGCCTCTGCCTCCCAAGTGCTGGGATTAAAGGTATGCGCCACCACACCCGGCCACATCTCAATCTTTTTAAAAAATATTTTTATTATTTTTATTTTATGTGTATGAGTATATTGCCTGCATGTATGTAAGAGCACCTGTGTCATGCAATGCCTGCAGAGGAAAGAGGTCATCGGATTCCCCTGGAACTGAAGTTACAGATAGTTGCTACCTACCATGTGGGTGCTGGGAATCGAACCCAGGTCCTCTGAGAGAGCGGCCAGTGCTCTTAATGCTGAGCCATCTCTCCAGCCCCTCAATCGATCTTAACCATCTTTATACCCCCTTCCTCACTGGCACCCTCCCGTAACACCCCCCCGCGACTGGAATTCATACATTGTCATTGGTCTTAAGGCCCATTGTGTCAAGTTAGTGTCCCCAGATGTCCCTCAGTGCAAGTTCATCTTCTAGGGTCTAGTCAGCCTATCTAGAGTCCCTCGCTTTAGGGAGATCAGCTCTTCCTCAACCAGCAGTGATCAGTTGCCAATATTTCTTCAGTTAAGATTGGGGTCAGCTATTCATTTCCCCAGTTCTATGCTGGGTTTTTGAGTTTGCATGGGTCCTGTGCATGCTGACACCATTCCTGTAGGTTCATATGAACAGGGTCCAGGGAGCTTGTAGAACTCAATTTCCCTATGGTCATGCACCTCTTCCCTAGCTCTTACAATCTTTCTGGCCCCTCTTCCACAATGGTCACTGAGCCCTCAGTGGGTGTAGTTTAATGCAGGAGTACTGTCCAACTACCAGAATTCTGCAGACTCTTAGTCTCTACACTTTGACCATTGGTGACCTTTTGTGTTCCTGGTCCTCTGAATTGAGAGATTCATTACTGTCTTCTTTACCCCTATTCTATGCTCCGTGAGCCTTAGGTGTAGAGGTTGCATTGTAGATGTGCCAGTTGCCTTTTTTTTTTTTTAAACTTTGATTTATAATGGGTCTGGAGAGATGGTTCAGCAGTTAAAAACACTGGCTTCTGCAGAGGACCTGGGTTTGATTCCTAGCACCCAGGTGGCGGCTAACAACCATCTGTAACTCCACCTCTAAGGGAATCCAACACCTTCTTCTGACCTCTGTGGGCACTGCATGACACAGGTGCACTTACACACATGCAGGCAATATACTCATATGCATAAAATAATAAAATATTTTTTAAAAATGGGCCAAGAAACTATCTGCAGAAATACAAATAAGTCCCTTTTGTTTTAAAAAATATATATCCTTAAGGAAACAATCTTACCAGTTGTCTTTTTTTTAAATTGATATATTTAATTACATTAAAAATTTATTTTGCGGGGGCGGGGGATCGTGCCACAGTGAATGTGTGGAAGTCAGAGGACAAGTTACGGGAAGTGGTTCTCTCCTTCCACCTTGTGGGTCCTTGGGACTGAATTCAGGTTGTCAGGCTTGGCAGCAAGCACCTTTACCTTCTCTGCCAACTTGACAGCTCCTTACTAGGTGTCGTATGTATGGACAAAAGAGATGCCCAGAGGTGGGAACTCTCCATTACTGAAGTCAGAAGAGTGAACTGGGAGCTGCAGTTGTGATGATGGTTGTGATGATCCAGTACCAGAAGGGTGCTGTGGGCCAGAATAGGGTATTCAGGAATGGACTTGTGTCTCCACAGAGAGAACCCAGCACCTTAAATCTCAAGCCTTGACTGCCTCTCCAGACACCTGACCCTGAGCAAGGGGCAGCTGAGGCCTACACAGAGCTGCCTGATCCACCCAGGCAGGAGCTATGTCTAGGGTGTTGGGTTTGCACCTGTTCCAGTCTCACCCAGGTGATTAACATGTCACTTCCATGAATCAAGAAGGACCTCTCCGACCTCTGACCAGGTCAGTTAGGGGAAAAGTCCTTGCTTCTTGGCAGAGTGAGACTGTCCTTCAGCCTCTAATTTTGAGTTCCTATGCCCTCTGCTGTATGTTGCCTACTTTGGGTGTCACCCTGCCAGACTCCTATGTTGGTCGACAGTGTGGGTAGCACAGGGAGGGACAGGCAGTGGTGTGGCACTCTGACCACGGCCGGGATACCTGACATACACTGCACGGTGAGGGTCACACCAGCTGCCAACTTGAGAGTGAGTCACAGAGACCTGCTGTCCCAGCAACTGGGGTGGCTCAAGGAGGCCCAGTGCCTGCTGGGCACAGGGCAGGGCCCCTTCCATGCGGAACGATATCTGAAAGCCCCCACCTCACTGGGCAAGGGAAGTCCTGCACTGGAACCAGCACAAGGGAGCTGCTGGCACCTGTGTGCTAAGAGGCTGCGTGGCGGGGTTATGGGGTGGTTGGTGGCATTGGGACTCCACAGTCCCAACTGTGCATCCTCTGTATCCTCGCACCCCCAGGGTCATGTTGTGCCTCTAGGTTCTGCAAGCCTAGCTACCCCATCCTGACGTGTGCAGCTCTGCTTATCACGTGGCATCCATCCCTGCTCCACGTGGAAACCCAGATGTGCTTTAGGGACTCCATTGGCGACCTTGAAGGTTTCTGAGATCCGGTTGTGGGAGCACCCGGGTCTTTTGTGCTTCCCTTATCATGTGGGCAACCGAGGGTAGGCATTTTCCGGGGTCCTCATGTGGGGACCCTGGAGTGTCTTGTGCCCTCCATAACGGGGGCAGGCGGACCCTGGCTGCTGTATGGGGACCCCAATGTTTCGTGCAATCTTATCACGTGTGGGGGTTTGTTTTCTGGTGTCCCTGTCATGCGTGGGCCCGCAAGGGCGTCTCGTGGCTCCCCGTCGTGTGGACTTGGGGAATGTTTCGGGGGGTACCCTTTGAGCGGGGATCCCGGGGTGCTTCGTGGAGTCTCCGCCCAGTGGGGACCCTGGACGAGTAGTGGTAGCCGCGCAGGTCGGCTCCTGATCGCCACTCAGCTGGTCTGCGGTTGCGGCAGGGGCCTTGTGGGTTTCGGGGCCCCAAGACCGTGGCGGCGGCGGGACCGGCGCCTTCCCAGCAGCGCAGGAAGCGACCTCGGCCGGAAAGGGGGCCGGGGGCGCCGC